TGTGTGTGTGTGTGTGTGTGTGTGTGTGTGTGTTGTTTAGCTTACCATCCCAAGTTGAGAGAAGCCAAGAATAATCAGTCATTCCAGGTAGCCCTTGGGTAGATTTTCATACATTTTACATTCAAAACTAAGAAGATGACCAGAACTGATGGAAATTTTATCAGTAGAAAAGAGGGATAAGAACCTCCACCTAACCAGGATGTTAAAGTAACTACAGATATATGCTCTTATGCATGCAGCTGTGAGATATTTAGTCCGTAGCCATGTTGTCATCTATAGAGCCTATATGATTACTTTATTCCCTTATGTAATACGAATTCTTTCAGGGAAGGGGCAATGTTTTATGCTTATGCTCATTTTATAATTGCAACGGTAACTAGAGTAATGCTAGGGAGATATAATTCATAAAGATATATTGTTGTAAGAAAAATAGATTGTCTTCTTATTTTTCTTTCTGGTATTTGAGTACCTTCTCCAAGTAGACATGTAGACTATTGAATATTTTCAGTGGTGGACAACCCAAATATTCAAAGACTACAAGCAGGTTCCTATTTCATCTTACAATATTGAATTAATTTTAACAAGTTAATTTTTAATGGTTTTAGTGGTTTTGTGCATGTCTATATACATACGTGTGTGTATATGTGTGTGTATATATTCTGAGATATAAAATATATCCATTAGAGCTTAAGCTATCAATTATTGATCTATTTATATATTTACATTTACATGTAAAAGAATTAAACTATTAAAAGAAATGCTCTCATTCCACCAATGTAGCTAAGAATGAGCCAGTGATTTTTATCTTTATCTTCTGTATTCAAGACAATATTTAGGACCACAGGGAAAAATCTGAAAACAAGACACTCTGGCATAAGTTATAATCTTTTTTTTCTTTTTTTATTATGTTAATCACCATATATTACATCACATCCTTAGTTTTTGATGTAGTGTTCCATGATTCATTGTTTGTATATAACACCCAGTGCTCCATGCAGAATGTGCCCTCTTTAATACCCATCACCAGGCTAACCCATCCCCCTACCCTCCTCCCCTCTAGAACCCTGTTTGTTTCTCAGAGTCCATAGTCTCTCATGGTTCGTCTCCCCCTCCGATTTACCCCCCCTTCATTTTTTCCTTCCTGCTATCTTCTTCTTCTTCTTTTTTTTTAAACATATAATGTATTATTTGTTTCAGAGGTACAGGGTGAGTGCTGTGAATTGTGTGAGACTGTCGAATAAAGATCATATTTTATTATTACTTATGTCTGCAATTACATTTTCTACTGTTGAGAATGTTTTGGTTCAAATTATTTATTTGTTTGAAAAAATCATATTACACTGAGTATGTGCTCATTTTCTGAACCGAAACTGTGGGGCCCATAGAGACCTTCTAATGGAATGTAACCTTTTTACTGCAGATGAGTTTATGTAATTAAAGGTAGTGCAGACACAAGAAGCCAGTTTTGCTCCTCTCTTCAGTCTCCCTCTCTCTCCCTACTAATTTCAATTCGTAGGTTTTAATTTTCAAAATAGTCATCCTAAGAAGCCGGATGATTTATTCAAAAGGTCACTGATTCTTTCCTCTCTGTTTTCTCTTTTCCTCTCTAGCCCTCTTCAATCTAATTCCTGTGGGCCTGCGTGTGGTGGCTATCCAAGGGGTGAAGGCCAGCCTCTATGTGGCCATGAATGGTGAAGGCTATCTCTACAGCTCAGTAAGTACCTCATAAAGCATGCGTGTATGTGTGTGCATACGCTTGTGTGTACATGTAACCTGGCATTGAGAGCTAGTGAAGTAACCATTATTTTAGGGAAGAAAATTAGAAGTTGAAGTCATTTTAGAATTTCCGACCCAATAGGTCAGGATTTTATTAAGATTTTTACAATTTACAATGGGAAGGATCATGCCCTCTTGAGAAAGAGCTAGTTACTTGCTGTGCAATATAAATTCTCTTCATCTGGCTTCTACTTCTAGAGGATATGTTAATCTTTCGAATTTTACCTTTCTGCTTAATTCAAGGGGTAAGACATTTTTCCTTTCTCCTGTTACTTCTCCTTTAAGCACATAGCATGGTTTAAGAATCTTAGTTAAATTCTTCAGTTTGTCTGGGAGTCTTCTCTGTCTTGTAGAGAAAAACTTTTGGAATGGTTGTGTTTTGTTTGTATTTAATAAATCTGTTCAGTACCTAATACATCAGATTCCTGTCATAACTGGTCACTTCAAAGACAAGGTAAATTTATGAAATGAGCTCTGAATTAGGGGCTGGATATTTGAGTTTTATTTACATTTCAGTTACTATTTCTCTTTGGGCAAGTTAGCTCCCCTCTTTGGCTTAATTTCTGGACCTCTAACACAGTGTGTTGGACACCATGTTGTTTAACACCTCTTTTCAACCTTAAACTGACAAAATTAGGTAGCTCCAGTGGCTACATTATAAGCACTGACATTTTAAAGTAGTAAACTGTCATCTGATGCCTGTCTGACTCTCAAGATAATAATTTATGCATGGGGAGAGTGTGGCTGCTCTGAATCTCATGTATCAAGTATTATGATAACTCATAATTTCTGTTCTCTCATGAGGGAATTTGCCTATTTGTAGTTCACAAAGAGATATCCTTGAAAATCATGGTTAAAGATTTCCACCCTTACTTTCTATCATCTCAGTAAACAGCATAGTTATTCAGGAAGTTCACTTATACCTATGAAATTCTAAATTAAATACTAAATAACTTCTATTAAACTCTTTTCATATTCAGTTAAATGAACTATACTATGCTTTTTAGTGATACATCTGTCATTCATATTAGGATTTTTAAGTTACTATTTTATTCCTGAGCATATTCAGATATGCATTTGTATTCATATACTAGATGTGTACCTGCACATTTTTTAAATTGTTCTATTCAATATAACACAGATAAATACATTTTTGGTTAAAAAAATGATTTTCATTCTTAATGTGCCATAATTCTAACAGTGCTTAATGTCCACTTATTGTGAGTCTATATTTTAAATGTAAGAATTAAAATAAGCAAAAGAAAAGGTTGTTGTTTTGAGTAATTCCAATTAATTAAGCTTTAAAAAAGTTTTGGGGCACCTGGGTGACTCAGTCATTAAGTGTCTGCCTTCAGCTCAGGTAATGATCTCAGGGTTGTGGGACCAAGCCCCACAAACCATGTCAGGCTCCTTGCTCAGCAGGGAGTCTGCTTCTCCCTCTGCCCCTCTTCCTCCCCATGCTCTCTCTCTCTCTCAATCTCAAATAAATAAATAAATAAAATCTTAAAAAAAAGTTTTGGCTATAATACAAACTAAAACATGGAGATGATCGTAGGATAATATTGACTTAAGGATTTAATCAGTCATCAAGTAAAGAGCTAAAACTAACAATTATACAAAAATGATGAGTTAGCTCTTTGGATCAGAGTTCATTTCCAAAGGTTTGGGAAGAAGAAAAACACAGAAAGTCTGACAACAGTATTGCAGGCAGAGGACAGTTGTATAGGAGTGTGTGTGTGTGTGTGTGTGTGTGTGTGTGTGTGTGTGTGTGTGTGT